GTTTTCGCTTATCCTCAACGAAACGCCTCGTGTGTCTTTGCGAGAACAACTTCATGAGGCAGACGATTCTAGTGAAAGGCAACCGATGGAGGTAGATAAATGGCTGCCATATATCAATAAAGAATACGAGAACATTAATAGCGACGATGAATTGATTTCGTCATTGCCCGAATTCACTAGACAAAGATTGGCAGAATATTGCAGGATTGGTGATGTCGCAACGGTCCAAATTGTGAGTTATCGCAAGTCTATTCGCAAAAGTTTTTGGACAAGTCTAAGTATAACAATCGCTATTATACCCCTAACGGCATTTCTGATGGCTTTTTTATATTTGGATTTCAAGACAAATGATCTTTGCGTAGAATGGCAATATCACAACCACAGTTTACCGTTGTCTGTAAAACATACTCGATTGATTGGCCACCTTGTGGAAGTGTTAATAGCGAACCTTTGGTTTCCCCTGACAACTGCGGTGCTGTTCAGCTGGAAAGTTTTTAAAATTAAGTACTTTTCAACTTTTTATGTTGGTCTTATTTTTGGATTCATGGTAGTTATCTATTACTTATTTTTAATGGTATTTGGGGCCTACGAGACGCACGTGTATTACAAATCTCCTGCAAATGTTCTTTTCTTTATTGGAATAATCATCTGTTGTGTGGTGATATTGCACAATATTCGAGCCAGTGAGCAGAACATATCTTATTCCAACTTCCATATATTGTCTTTGATATCGTCAGAGTTTCTCCTGGGTTCTCTGCTGGCATACATTCACAGATACGGCATAGTTCTTTTCTTCAATGGTGTAAAAGAAGAACAATATAAGTTTATGATCGCTGCTATGACTCCTGCGTCAGCCATCATTCCTGCAGCAATCCTGAAGCACATTGCGTTGAAGCAAAGTTCCGAGGTAGTAAATCCCGGTCGGAGTTTTGTGCTGGTGTACTGTATTCGAGGTGCAGTGATTTACCTATACCGTACCATGCAAGCGGACTTTAAAAACATTTGGCTGTTCGTTGGACTTTCATTGTTTTCTGGTGTTTTGAACTTTTTGAAGAAAGCAACCAATCGCTTAAGAATGAGATTGTGGAGTTACATCATCTCACGGTTGAGGCGAACTGTTTGCTGTCAAAGCATTCACGAAATGCCTCGTGACACACCACACTACAGAAGATTAAGAGCGGATTTAGAAATTCAAGACATGCTTTTTGAGTACATTACACTAGTTCTAAGTCAAGGAACCTTGGTCTTGTACATTGTGGAAAGTTTTAAACTTTCTGTTTCATCCATCATTTACGAGTCTTTGAGGAACATCGCTATTGGCATTGGAATCGACTTCTTTTTCAATGTCTTATCCAATTTTGTTCAAATCCATTACTACAACATTCCAATTAGTCGCTTGTGGTCGAAGTACTGGAAACGACATATGTTGGCTAACGTCATCATTCTCATGGTGATGGTGTCGTATTTCACCCCAGTCCTTGTCTCCGTTTTTCATGCGCGCGTGACTAAGAATGGGGCGAGGAACGGAACCTACATAGTAAATAATTGCACGTCGTTTTAGTGATTGTTGTAATACAAGCAATGTTATATAAAACATGGAAGCATGTATCCTCCCAATATTGTTTTTGCGTACAATGAATGAAAGGAAACAGGGGGGTGTAGTTGCCCTCCCCCTAGTGGTACTTTTGAGGGCCAATTACACCCCTGTTAGCATTTTAGCAAATTCACAAAACAATATTGGCCAGAAGGATACATGCTTATATGTTTTATATAACATTGCTTATATTTTATGCAGGGGGGTCCGCTTTCTCCCAAAATGACTGCTTAAAAAGGCCCTGGATAAAATAAAATTAATACTCTCCCGGCTGTAATCCTGGAATAACCCAGAGAACATCGTAATAATAGCAAGGGAAAACGATTAACGAACACAATGGTATCTACAGTATTGAGATGAATAAATAGAAAATGCGCGAAAATATGGAATTTCTAGCGTTGAGAATGATATCGAAGGAGTGAGCGCAGCGAACGAGTGAGATACCTTTCTCAACACGAGAAATAAATTCCATATTTCCAAGCATCCATGCATTCCAGATCGGTGGATCAAACACGATAATCGCACATGTGTTATTATCATAAATAATCGCACATGTATTATTATCGCTTTTCAAAATGGCAGATTCGTCAATAAAACACTGCATTTTATATAATAAAGCAATTTATTTTATTCATCTCAATGGTCTACAACCATCCGTTAATATGCTGCAGGAAATCATGGGAACAATTTTGTTAGTTGTTTCCCTTATTTTGAGCGAAGCACCGCATGTGTCTTTGCGAAACCCCAGTTTCGTTGCTAGCTCGACGTGTGAGGGACTCATATTCAAATATTCGTGCTCTACATTATTTTCTTCTTTTGAAATCGATTGTTTCACCGGTCAGTGAACACTAATTAAAATATGAAAATGCAAGCCTCCAATTATCCATGCTGGCAAATTTCATTGTTAAATATACTCTGGTATTTGTAATTGCCTTTAACATAAGATTTAGATTTATTAAAAGAATCAATTTCGCAGTCAGAGACTGAATTACTTTGGATAAGCATGGTTAATTCGTCTTCCTGCTCGTGGGAAATGAATTGCTCGGCTCAGTTTAATTTTGGAATGAACCAGAGTCCATTGTAAGCCGCAAAATATTTCTCGCGTGCCCTCTTCCCCCAGATCGAGTTTACAGCTATCCGTCAATCATGTTGGAAGAAATTGTGGGAATCGTTTTGCCAGTGTTTTCGCTTTTCCTAAACGACGCGCCGCGTTTGTCATTTTCTACTTTTTATGTTGGTCTTATTTTTGGATTAACGGCAGTTATCTATTATCTATTGCTACTGGTATTTGGAGCCTATGGTACACATATGTATTATAGATATCCTTTAAATGCTCTTTTCTTTACCGGAATAATCACTGGCAGTATTGTCGTATTACGCAATATTCGAGCCAGCGAACCGACTGTGTCTTATTCTAACTTTCATATATTCGCTCTTGTATCGTCAGAATTACTCGTGTGTACTGTACTAACATTTGTTTACAGATACGGCACAATTCCTGTCTTTATAAGTGTGAAAGAAGAGCAATATAAGTTTCTGGTCGCTGCTATGGCTCCTGCGACGGCCATCATTCCTGCAGCAATCTTGAAGCACATTGCGTTGATGCGAAGTTCCGAGGTAGTACATCCCGGTCGGAGTTTTGTTCTAGTGTACTGTATTCGAGGTGGTGTAATTTACGTATACCGAACCATGCAAGCGGACTTTAAAAACATTTGGCTGTTCGTTGGACTTTCATTGTTTTCCGGGGTTTTGAATTTTTTGAAGAAAGCAACCTATCGCTTAAGAATGAGACTGTGGAGTTACATCATCTCACGGTTGAAGCGAACTGTTTGCTGTCAAAGACTTCACGAAATGCCTCGTGACCAGGGCCGTCCTCAGGATATTTTACAGGGGGGTGTAAGGTCATCTTAACCGACTGATCGACGGACTTGTACCGACTACACTCTGGATGAAACTTTGTCAAGTTTATATTGGATCGGTCTATAGTGTCAAAAATATTTTTGTCTGCCGACTAAAATAGCAATTTTACCGACTGAACCTCAGAATAAACGTTTTTCTGGGGGTGTGTGACACCCCCCCAAACCCCCCCGTAACTCCGGGCCTGCTCGTGACACACCACACTACAGAAGATTAAGAGCGGATTTAGAAATTCAAGATATGCTTTTTGAGTACATTACACTTGTTGTAAGTCAAGGGATGTTGGTTTTGTACATTGTAGAAAGTTTTAAACTTTCTGTTTCGTCCATCGTTTACGAGACTTTGAGGAACATGGTTATTGGCATTGGAATCGACTTCTTTTTCAATGTCTTATCCAATTTTGTTCAAATTCATCACTTCAACATTCCAATTAGTCGTGTGTGGTCAAAGTACTGGAGAAGACATATGTTGGCTAACCTCGTTTTTGCTTTGACCATGTTGTACTATAGCCCAGTCCTTCTCTCGGTTTTTCATGCGCGCGCCAATGGGACTGGCGCAAGGAACGGGACATACATAGCTAAAAACTGTACCTTACTTTAGTCCGGGCCTAACAAGAATTTTTGGTAACTTAAGATTCTCCATTTAGTCCATCAAGTAGGTTGTAGATTCAAGCCTTAAAGTAGAGTTGGCCCGGGAGGGGTTAATTCGTAGTCACATGACTTTAAATAAATGCAATGTTTCCCGCCAGGGAAAGAAGAGAAAAATTGTTGCCCGCATATTGTCATAACAAAGTATTTTGAAATGAAATTGTTGTGTAACATGTATGTTTTTGTTCCGATATAACAAAACACTTAATGTTCGCTACACCTCGGGAAATAGTGAGTTTTGTTTTCCCTCGGGTCTCAATGTTTCCCTCGACTTCGTCTCCGGAAACATTCAGACTCTTGGGAAAACAAAACTCACTATTTCCCTCGGGAGCATACATTAAGTGTATGTTATTTTATTCATCTTAATGGTCTACAACCATCCGTTAATATCCTCCAGGAAATCATGGGAACAATTTTGTTAGTTGTTTCCCTTATTTTGAGCGAAGCACCGCATGTGTCTTTGCGAAACCCCAGTTTCGTTGCTAGCTCGACGTGTGAGGGACTCAAATTCAAATATTCGTGTTCTACATTATTTACTTCTTTTGAAATCGATTGTTTCACCGGTCAGTGAACACTAAATATGAAAATGCAAGCCTCCAATTATCCATGCTTGCAAATTTCATTGTTAATTATACTCTGGTATTTGTAATTGCCGTTTAATATAAGATTTAGATTTATTAAAAGAACCAATTTCGCAGTCAGAGACTGAATTACATTGCGTGGTTAAGGATGGTTAATTCGTCTTCCTGCTTGTGGGAAATAAATTGCTCGGCTCAGTTTAATCTTGGAATGAACCAGAGACCATTGTAAGCCGCAAAATAATTCTCGCGTGCCCTCTTCCCCCAGATCGAGTTTACAGCTATCCGTCAATTATGTTGGAAGAAATTGTGGGAATCGTTTTGCCAGTGTTTTCGCTTTTCCTAAACGAAGCGCCGCGTTTGTCATTCCGAGAACAACCTCGTTCGACGGGCGACGACTCAAGTGAAGGCAGTGTTATAGTCGAAGATAAATGGCCGCCATATATCAACAAAGAATACGAGGACCTCAATAATGACGACGAATTAACTTTGCCATTGCTCGAATCAACTAGTGAAAGATCAACAGACTATCACAGGCTTGGTGATGTCTCATCTGAGCTTGTGAGTTATCGTGAGTCCATTTGGAAAAGCCTTTGGACAAGTCTAAGTATAACCATCGCTATTATGCCCATAACAGCTTTCATGATGGCGTTTATATATTTGGATTTGAAGACAACTGATCTTTGCATAGAATGGGAATATCACAGCCACAGTTTGCTGTTGTCTGTAAAACGACTTCGAGTGATTGGCGACAGTGTGGAAGCAATAATAATAAACCTTTGGTTTCCCCTGACAACTGCAGTGCTGTTCAGCTGGAAAGTTTTTAAAATGAAATACTTTTCTACTTTTTATGTTGGTCTCATTTTTGGATTAACGGCAGTTATCTATTACCTATTGCTACTGGTATTTGGAGCCTATGGTACACATATGTATTATAGATATCCTTTAAATGTTCTTTTCTTTACCGGAATAATCACTGGCAGTGTTGTCGTATTACGCAATATTCGAGCCAGCGAACCGACTGTGTCTTATTCTAACTTTCATATATTCGCTCTGGTTTCGTCAGAATTACTCGTGTGTACTGTACTAACATTTGTTTACAGATACGGTACAATTCCTTTCTTTATAAGTGTGAAAGAAGAGCAATATAAGTTTCTGGTTGCTGCTATGGCTCCTGCGTTGGCTATTATTCCTGCAGCAATCCTGAAGCACAGTGCGTTGATGCGAAGTTCCGGGGTAGTGCATCCCGGTCGGAGTTTTGTTCTAGTGTACTGTATTCGAGGTGGAGTGATTTACGTATACAGAACCATGCAAGCGGACTTCACAAACATTTGGCTGTTCGTTGGACTTTCATTGTTTTCCGGTGTTTTGAATTTTTTGAAGAAAGCAACCTATCGCGTAAGAATGAGATTGTGGAGTTACATCATCTCACGGTTGAAGCGAACTGTTTGCTGTCAAAGACTTAACGAAATGCCTCGTGACACACCACACTACAGAAGGTTAAGAGCGGATTTAGAAATTCAGGACATGCTTTTTGAATACATTACACTAGTTTTAAGTCAAGGGATGTTGGTCTTGTACATTGTGGACAGTTTTAAACTTTCTGTTTCATCCGTCGTTTACGAGACTTTGAGGAACATCGTTATTGGCATTGGAATCGACTTCTTTTTCAATGTTTTATCCAATTTTGTTCAAATTCATTACTACAACATTCCAATTAGTCGTGTGTGGTCAAGGTACTGGAAACGACATATGTTGGCTAACCTCATTTTTGCTTTGACCATGGTATCGTACTATAGCCCAGTCCTTCTCTCGGTTTTTCAGGCGCGCGCCAATGGGACTGGCGCAAGGAACGGGACATACATAGCTAAAAACTGTACCTTACTTTAGTCCGGGTCTAACAAGAATTTTAATTAACTTAAGACTCTCCATTTAGTCTATCAAGTAGGGTGTAGATTGAAGCCTTAAAAGCAGTGTCGCCCGGGGGGACGGTTAATATTGGGCCTAATAATCAGTTCTGCCAGTCAGGCAAGTTTTTATTGTTAGCTATGATAGTAACAAAAGAAGTCCGTCGAGCAGAACTGGATATATAAATTATATTCACCCTCCATCCTCCAGCCCACCCCAATGACCCCATTGTCGTTCTAGTTACGCCACTGGATGACTGTTGAGGATAACAAAAAAATATTTTGCCCAAGCTGACCTCCCCCCGTCCCCGTTATTCAACAGTTAACATCGTGAACAGCACAGAAATAATTATTTCATCGAAATGCAAGTTGAGAGGAAGTGAAGATTTACCAAGCATATAAAAACTGATGAAACATGAATCTATAATGTTGACTGATAAATTTCTCGATCCTTCGAGCCACTGATTGCCTTCGTAGGATTAAATCTTCGAACGAGAGCTTTTAGATCGAAAAGTGGCGAACCTTTTTTAACTATTTCAGACATGTTATATACACCACATTTGATTATTTATTCAAATCACTCTAACGCTGCTCGTTTAGTAAAGACACACACGCTGCTCGCTGGTTTAGTAAAAACACAAAGGTAGTCTGGATATTATCTAGCACTATTCTTATCTGAATTGATGCATATGTATCATAGCTGGATCAGTAAATATTTTTTTTAATAAAATTGATATATACTTATTCGACCTTTTTCGTTTTCGATATGGAAAATAACTCAGCAAACAAATTCTCGACACACTTTCATTTGCCTTTTATAAACGTCATCTTTCATAAAGTGCACGTCGCTAGTCGCTAACTCGAGTTTTCTTTAGTCAACCGAGGCAATACCGTGAAGATTTCGCAGAAATTGCCGCACAAATTTTGTCGGAAAAAATCACATAACGTTGATCATTGTGTAATCCAGGCGGGAAAAAATGGAGTGATCGTATTTTTACCGAGTATAATCGTATCTATAAAGCAATCTGTCAATATGTTCGAAGAATTTCTAGAAATGATTTTGCCACTTTTTTCTCTTTTCGTAAACGAAACGTCGGATGTCTCTTTCCGAGAGCTACATAACCAGACAGTTTGCAATTCAGGAAACTCGACTGGTACCGATAGTCGAAGTTCAATGGCTGCTATGCATATATTAACAACGAATACGAGAGCTTTGATACGACGACTTCTATACATTGGCTGGATTAACTGAACAAAGATTAACAAGTCCCAACTATTGAATCGTCTACAGCAATTCTCGATTTAAACACCAGATCTGTTGTATAATCCAAGCATGAAAAATATGGAAACCTACCAAAGTGTTCAATTTCAAACTTGAACCTAAATAAAATTGAAATATAGCTAATTTATTTTCATCAACGATTTTATTTTCGATTTGCGAAAAACCGGGCAAGGAAATGGTCCTTTGATATATTCATTTGTTTTGGCCGCACTTTTTAATTCATTCTACTTTTAAAAATGTCGTGAAGATTACAGGCACGTTAAAAGACAGGCGGTATAGATAACATTGACCATAGTATAATTTTATCGGAAAAGATTCAGTAATCCTTTGCGCCACCGACTGATAATAGTTTCCAAAGCGATCCGTCAATATGCTGTCAGAAATTCTTGAAATTATTTTATCTTTTTTTTCACTTTTCACGAACGAAACGCCGCATGTGGCTTTCCGAAAACAATCTGATCAGACAGGCGACGACTCAAGTGAAAGCCGTCTGGCAGTCGAAGATAAATGGCTGCCGTATATCAACAAAGAATATGGCAACTTCAATAATGACGACGACTTGACTTCTTTCTTGCCTGAATTACCAAGAGAAAGATCAACAGACTATCGTAGGCTTGGTGATGTCTCATCTGAGCTTGTGAGTTATCGGGAGTCCATTTGGAATAGCTTTCGGACTAGTCTAAATGTAACAATCGCTATTGTGCCCCTAACGACTTTGACGGTGGCATTTTTGTATCTGGATTTGAAGACAACTGATCTTTGCATAGAATGGCAATATCATAACCACACTTTACCGTTGTCTGTAAAACGACTTCGAGTGATTGGCGACAGTGTAGAAGCGATAATAATAAACCTTTGGTTTCCCCTGACAACTGCGGTGCTGTTCAGCTGGAAGGTTTTCAAAATGAAGTACTTTTCTACTTTTTATGTTGGTGTTATTTTTGGATTCGGGGTAGTTATCCTTTACCTGGTTTTACTGGTATTTGGGGTTTACAGCACCTACCAATTCTACATCTATCTTGCAAATACTTTTACATTTATTGGATTTATAGTTTGTGGTATGGTGTTAATGCGCAATATTCGAGCCTGCGAACACGCCGTATCTTATTCTAATTTTCATATAATGGTGCTGGTGTCATCGGAATTTCTCGTGTGTGCTCTGCTGTCATACGTCTACAGATTTGGCATAATTCCTTTTTTCAACAGCGTGGAAGAACAACAATATAAGTTCCTTATTGCTGCTATGGCACCCGCGTTGGCCAGTATTCCCGCAGCAATCCTGAAGCACATTGCGTTGAGGCAAAGTTCCGAGATAATAAATCCCGGTAGGAGTTTTGTCCTGGCGTACTGTATTCGAGGTGGTGTAATTTATGTATACCGTACCATGCAAGCGGACTTCACAAACATTTGGTTGTTCGTTGGACTTTCATTATTTTCTGGTGCTTTGAACTTTTTGGCGAAAGCAACCGATCGCGTAAGAATGAGATTGTGGAGTTACATCATCTCACGGTTGAGGCGAACTGTTTGCTGTCAAAGACTTCACGAGATGCCTTTTAACACACCACACTACAGAAGGTTAAGAGCGGATTTAGAAATTCAAGACATGCTTTTTGAGTACATTACACTAGTTCTAAGTCAAGGAACCTTGGTCTTGTACATTAGAGAAAGTTTTAAACTTTCTGTTTCATCCATCATTTACGAGTCTTTGAGGAACGTTGCTATTGGCATTGGAATCGACTTCTTTTTCAATGTTTTATCCAATTTTGTTTAAATCCATTACTACAACATTCCAATTTGTCGCGTGTGGTCAAAGTACTGGAAACGACATATGTTGGCTAACCTCATCGTTGTCATGGTGATGGTGTCGTACTTTAGCCCAGTCCTTCTCTCGGTTTTTCAAGGGCGAAACAATCAGACTAATGCAAGGAATATAACGTACATAGTCAGAAACTGCACGTTATTTTAGGCTCTCGCCACATTGTAACAAGAGTAAGGAAGTTGAAAGTTGAAAACTTCATTTGTATTGTATCATACTGCCAGAACTGAAAATGAGACTATTATGAGCAGTAGCGTAGCCAGCCTGACGATTTGTCCCGCTATGCTAATATTTTGGTGTTCATTGACTGTGAAAACAATGAATTTCTAAAGATATGAATAATTATAATAACTTGAAATTTACATTGCGGGACAAAATTGTCAGGCTGATTACGCCACTGATTATGAGTATTAAGGTAAAGGATGTTCAGGTGATCATAGTAAACACTATCTTTTCATTTTTAACTACATAACTTTAGCACACTAGAGTTTATGAATTCTTGTCATGGGAACAAGCAGGAATTTCGTTTTAGCGTAGGTAAACTTGAAAAAGAAAACCGTCTAAGTTGCACAAAACGGAACTTCGAATGACTCATGAAAAAACCAGACACAGTACTAAAATGCGGTGCCCGCAATGCTTGTCTAGAAATAAAACGTCCGCTCATTTCTAACGACATCACCAACTTACATTCTCCTGTCGGCCGCAGCCTGGTTGGTTGGTACATTAAGGTCAAAATTGCGCCGTTTTAAAATCTTCAGAAATAAAATATTTAGGCTAAAAATACTATCTAAGAATACTATCAAAATGAAGAGAAACGTGAGACGAATAAACTGGCGTAGAGCCGGAAACTAGAAAAGCAACGATACAGAAGTCAAGGATTAAGCGTACTGCATTTTTAATTTGTTTAATAATTTTGAGCGATTTGTCATAAAGTTCGCTTATTGAAACTATACTTTAAAACCTTCGAAATAGAATATATTTGGCTCAAAGTACTATAAAATAAATCGCAATGTAAGACCGATCCACTTATTTAAGGACGAAAATTAAAAGAGAAAACCAACGATAGGAAAGATGTCAAAGACCAAACTTACTATTACTAGTAAAGTATAGCATAGTAATTTTGAGCGATTTGTCAACAATTCAATTTCGTTTGTCTTTCAAACGTCATAAATCGCTGCGAATACTCTTGTTTAGTAATATATTTAAGAACTATAAGTATAATTTCTTACGCTGAATCGAATGGTGGTATTTTTGTCCTTCTTGGGTGCATAAAAACAGAGATACACGCAATTATCAGAGTTTGAGATTGAAATTGAAAAAAGAACGTTCCTTTAAAAAAGGAATTTGCCAAACGTACAACAAGATTAATAGTAATAATTAGGAAAAAATTCCAAACATTCCAAGTATGTGCAAGGAATTTTTACTTGGCGATTAAGGAAACGTATTGATGCGAACAAACAAACTCACAGGCAGAATATAATGCGGTGCCAAACTTGGCGCGGGCACCGCAATAACAGGAGAATCACCTAATTTAGTGGAGGTCTTCATAATTCATATATCATGAAACTGATCCTCCTCGAGAAAGATTAGAAATAATTTTGAAGCTTTGTCGCCAGCGCATTCACCAAATTAGTTTGGGTCTATTCTTTCAACCATAGAATCTGATAACCATGCAGTGAAAGACTCTGCAATCTTGTTGGCTTTCGCGTGATGAAGTTGGTTTCTGATAAATGCCGGCGTCTCTGCAGACAGAAGGTTTCCATATTGTTGTTATTGGTAAGCTTCCTGAATAGGCGCATCCAAAATAGAACAGAACGGAAGGCTTAAAATATCAGAAAAGTTTTTTATAACTGAGACAATTTGGAAAATTATCAATCGAGACCTTCGGCTCTATACGTCGTTAAAACGAGATAGTCCAAACTATTGAATCGTCTACAGCAATTCTCAATTTAAACACCAGAGTCTGTTGTATAATCCAAGCATAAAAAATATGGAAACCTACCAAAGTGTTCAATTTCAATCTCTAACCTAAATAAAATTGAAATATAGCTACTTTATTTTCATCAAACGATTTTATTTTCGAAATACGGAAAAACTAGGCAAGAAAATGGTCCTTTGATATATTCATTTGTTTCCGGAGCACACGTTTTTAAAGTGTATCTTGCTTATTCCAGTTTTCATTCAATTCTACTCCTAAAAATGTCGTGAAGATTGCAGGCACGTTAAAAGACAGGCGGTAGATAACATTGACCATAGTATAATTTTATCGGAAGAGATTCAGTAATCCTTTGCGCCACCGACTGATAATCGTTTCCGAAGCGATCCGTCAATATGCTGTCAGAAATTCTTGAAATTATTTTATCTTTTTTTTCACTTTTCACGAACGAAACGCCGCATGTGTCTTTCCGAGAACAATCTGATCAGACAGGCGACGACTCAAATGAAAGCCGTCTGGCAGTCGAAGATAAATGGCTGCCGTATATCAACAAAGAATATGGCAACTTCAATAATGACGACGACTTGACTTCCTTCTTGCCTGAATTACCAAGAGAAAGATCAACAGACTATCGAAGGCTTGGTGATGTCTCATCTGAGCTTGTGAGTTATCGGGAGTCCATTTGGAATAGCTTTCGGACTAGCCTAAGTGTAACAATCGCTATTGTGCCCCTAACGACTTTGACGGTGGCATTTTTGTATCTGGATTTGAAGACAACTGATCTTTGCATAGAATGGCAATATCACAACCACAGTTTACCGTTGTCTGTAAAACGACTTCGAGTGATTGGCGACAGTGTGGAAGCAATAATAATAAACCTTTGGTTTCCCCTGACAGCTGTGGTTCTGTTCAGCTGGAAAATTTTTAAAATGAAGTACTTTTCTACTTTTTATATTAGTGTTATATTTGGATTAACTGTATTTATCTATTACATGCTTTTACTGGTATTTGGAGTCCACGCTACGCATATGTATTATACATATCCTGCAAACGCCCTAACTTTAACTGGAGTAATTATCTGTGGTATAGTGGTATTACGCAATATTCGAGCCAGCGAGCAGACCGTATCTTATTCCAACTTCCATATATCGTCTTTGATGTCGTTACAATTTATCCTGGGTTCTCTACTGTCATACGTTTACAAATACGCCATAGTTCCTTTCTTCAATAGTGTAAAAGAAAAACAATATAAATTCCTGGTCGCTGCTATGGGGCCAGCGATAGCCATCATTCCTGCAGCAATCCTGGAGCATATTGCGTTGAGGCAAAGTTCCGAGGTAATACACCCCGGTCGGAGTTTTGTTCTGGCGTACTGTATTCGAAGTGGTGTAATTTACGTTTACCGTACCATGCAAGCGGACTTCACAAACATTTGGCTGTTTGTTGGACTTTCATTGTTCTCCGGAGTTTTGAACTTTTTGAAGAAAGCAACCTATCGCGTAAGAATGAGATTGTGGAGTTACATCATCTCACGGTTGAAGCGAACTGTTTGCTGTCAAAAACTTCACGAAATGCCTCGTGACACACCACACTACAGAAGATTAAGAGCGGATTTAGAAATTCAAGACATGCTTTTTGAGTACATTTCACTAGTCTTAAGTCAATGGACCTTGGTCATGTTCATTGTAGAGAGTTTTACAATTTTGTCGGTGATTTACGAGTCTTTGAGGAACATTGTTATTGGCATTGGAATCGACTTCTTTTTCAATGTCTTATCCAATTTTGTTCAAATTCATTACTACAACATTCCAATTAGTCGCGTGTGGTCAAAGTACTGGAAACGACACATGTTGGCTAATCTTATCGTTGTCATGGTGATGGTGTCGTACTTTAACGCAGTCCTTCTCACGGTTTTTCGTGCGCGCGTCAATGAAACTGGTGCGAGGAACAAAATGTACACAGTCAGAAACTGTACATTGTTTTAGTGAGGGTCTCTTAAGAAATTAAGATATCTCAGGGTTCTCCATTACGTGAAGTGTGAAATTAAGCCTTAAATTGAATGTTATACTTATGCCTAAAAACCTGGCCAAGCGTAGCCTGCGTCACAGTCCACTCCTCGTAGTGCACTCACTACGGGAAGTGGACTGTGACGCAGGCTAGGCCAAGCAATGTTGAAGTTAATTATTAATAGACCTTTTCGGTAATTACGTCACAACGTTTTAAATTTAGAACCACTTTAAATGAAATTGATTTCATGCTTTACTCTCACGAGCCACGTGCAAAGATACAAGATATTGTTCTTCAACACATGCATGAATTTTTTTTTATTTTGACCGCGAACCTCGTTCCCGCGCGTTATGTCTTATTTCCATACTTATTGGCCGGAATAAAAAATTCCTTTTCATGCCCGGGTTGTAGAAGATTAAGAGCGGATTTAGAAATTCAAGACATGCTTTTTGAGTACATTACACTAGTTCTAAGTCAAGGAACCTTGGTCTTGTACATTAGAGAAAGTTTTAAACTTTCTGTTTCATCCATCATTTACGAGTCTTTGAGGAACGTTGCTATTGGCATTGGAATCGACTTCTTTTTCAATGTTTTATCCAATTTTGTTCAAATCCATTACTACAACATTCCAATTTGTCGCGTGTGGTCAAAGTACTGGAAACGACATATGTTAGCTAACCTCATCGTTGTCATGGTGATGGTGTCGTACTTTAGCCCAGTCCTTCTCTCGGTTTTTCAAGGGCGAAACAATCAGACTAATGCAAGGAATATAACGTACATAGTCAGAAACTGCACGTTATTTTAGGCTCTCGCCACATTGTAACAAGGGTAAGAGCACATTGAAAACTTCATTTGTATTGTATCATACTGCCAGAACTGAAAATGAGACTATTATGAGCAGTAGCGTAGCCAGCCTGACGATTTGTTCCGCTATGCTAATATTTTGTTGTTCATTGACTGTGAAAACAATGAATTTCTAAAGAAATGAATAATTATAATGACTCGAAATTTACATTGCGGGTCAAAATCGTCAGGCTGACTACGCCACTGATTATGAGTATTAAGGTAAAGGATGTTCAGATGATCATGGTAAACACTATCTTTTCATTTTTAACTACATAACTTTAGCACACTAGAGTCTATGAATTCTTGTCATGGGAACAAGCAGGAATTTCGTTTTAGCGTAGGTAAACTTGAAAAAGAAAACCGCCATAAGTTGCACAAAACGGAACTTCGAATGACTCATGAAAAAATAACAGTAGAATCACCTAATTTAGTGAAGGTCTTCATAATTCATTTATCATGAAACTGATCCTCCTCGAGAAAGATTGGAAATAATTTTGAAGCTTTGTCGCCAGCGCATTCACCAAATTGGTTTGGGTCTATTCTTGGTTTGCGTGATGATAAATGCTGGTTTCTGATAAATGCCGGCGTCTCTGCAGACAGAAGGTTTCCATATTGTTGTTATTGGTAAGCTTCCTGAATAGACGGAAGGCCTAAAATATCAGAAAAGTTTTTTTATAACTGAGACAATTTGGAAATTATCGATTGGGCCTTTTTCGGCTCTACGTCGGTTAAAATGAGATAAACGTCAACTTGTCAACGAAGTTGTCACTCCGAAGTTTTCATTGTCAATGTCAATTTAAAGACCAGAGTCTGTTATATAATCCAAGCATCAAAAATATGGAAACCTATCAAAGACAAAGTGTTCAATTTCAAACTTGAACCTAAATAAAATTGAAATATAGCTACTTTATTTTCATCAAACGATTTTATTTTCGAAATACGGAAAAACTAGGCAAGGAAATGGTCCTTTGATATATTCATATGTTTCCGGAGCACACGTTTTTAAAGCGTATCTTGTTTATTCCAGTTTTCATTCAATTCTACTCCTAAAAATGTCGTGAAGATTGCAGGCACGTTAAAAGACAGGCGGTATAGATAACTTTGGCCATAGTATAATTTTAGTGGAAAAGATTCAGTAATCCTATGCTGCACTGACTGACAATCGTTTCCAAAGCGATCCGTCAATATGCTGTCAGAAATTCTTGAAATTATTTTATCTGTTTTTTCACTTTTCACGAACGAAACGCCGCATGTGTCTTTCCGAGAACAACCTGATCAGACAGGCGACGACTCAAGTGAAAACAGTCTGGCAGTCGAAGATAAATGGCTGCCGTATATCAACAAAGAATATGGCACCTTCAATAATGACGACAACTTGCCTTCTTCCTTGCCTGAATTACCAAGTGAAAGATCAACAGACTATCGAAGGCTTGGTGGTGTCTCATCTGAGCTTGTGAGTTATCGGGAGTCCATTTGGAATAGCTTTCGGACTAGCCTAAGTGTAACAATCGCTATTGTGCCCCTAACGACTTTGACGGTGGCATTTTTATATCTGGATTTCAAGACAAGTAATCTTTGCGTAGAATGGCAATATCACAACCACAGTTTACCGTTGTCTGTAAAACGACTTCGAGTGATTGGCGTCAGTGTGGAAGCAATAATAATAAACCTTTGGTTTCCCCTGACAACCGCGGTGCTGTTCAGCTGGAAAGTTTTCAAAATGAAGTACTTTTCTACTTTTTATATCTCTGCTATTTTTGGATTAACGACAATTATCTATTACATCATTTTACTGCTTTTGGGGGTCTACGGCAGGCATATGTATTATAGATACCCCGTAAATGTACTTCATTTCACTGGAGTAATCATTTGTAGTATTGTTGTATTACACAATATTCGAGCCAGCGAGCAGACCATATCTTATTCCAACTTCCATATATTGTCTTTGGTATCGTTAGAATTTATCCTGGTTTCTCTACTGTCTGTCGTTTACAGATTCGCCATGGTTCCTTTCTTCAATAGTGTAAAAGAAGAACAATATAAATTCCTGGTCGCTGCTATGACTCCTGTGATAGCCATTATTCCTGCAACAATCCTGAAGCATATTGCGTTGAGGCAAAGTTCCGAGGTAATACACCCCGGTCGGAGTTTTGTCCTGGCGTACTGTATTCGAGGTGGTGTAATTTACCTATACCGTACCATGCAAGCGAACTTCACAAACATTTGGCTGTTCGTTGGACTTTCATTGCTCTCCGGAGTTTTGAACTTTTTGAAGAAAGCAACGTATCGCTTAAGAATGAGATTGTGGAGTTACATCATCTCACGGTTGAAGCAAACTGTTTGCTGTCAAAGACTTCACGAAATGCCTCGTGACACACCACACTACAGAAGGTTAAGAGCGGATTTAGAAATACAAGACATGCTTTTTGAGTACATTTCACTAGTCTTAAGTCAATGGACCTTGGTCTTGTTCATTGTTGAGAGTTTTACAATCTTATCCGTGATTTACGAGTCTTTGAGAAACATCGCTATTGGCATTGGAATCGACTTCTTTTTCAATGTCTTATCCAATTTTGTTCAAATTCATTACTACAACATTCCAATTAGTCGCGTGTGGTCAAAATACTGGAAACGACACATGTTGGCTAATCTTATCGTTGTCATGGTGATGGTGTCGTACTTTAACGCAGTCCTCCTCACGGTTTTTCGAGCGCGCGTCAATGAAACTGGCACAAGTAACAAAATGTACACAGTCAGAAACTGTACATTGTTTTAGTGAGGGTCTCTTAAGAAATTAAGATATCTCAGGGCTCTCCATTACGTGAAGTGGTAAATTAAGCCTTAAATTGAATGTTATACTTATGCCTAAAAACCTGGCCAAGCATAGCCTGCGTCACAGTCCACTCCTCGTAGTGCACTCACTACGGGAAGTGGACTGTGACGCAGGCTAGGCCAAGCAATGTTGATGTTAATTATTAATAGACCTTTTCGGTAATTACGTCACAACGTTTTAAATTTAGAACCACTTTAAATGAAATTGATTTCATGCTTTACTCTCACGAGCCACGTGCAAAGATACAAGATATTGTTCTTCAACACATGCATGAATTTTTTTTTATTTTGACCGCGAACCTCGTTCCCGCGCGTTATGTCTTATTTCCATACTTATTGGCCGAAATAAAAAATTCTTTTTCATGCCCGGGTTGTAGAAGGATGCCATCTCATTTAAGGTGGTTCTAAATTCAAAACGATAATGTTGTGGCGTAATTACCGAAAAGGTCTGCTATCTGTCAGTGTAGTCAAATTAAGCTTCATCTGTTGTAAATTTCAACTATACAAGTAACACATAATTCTGATGTTCTGAGGAGAGAAGTAATTTATGTACAACTAAAGTGATATTAATATTATAATATTGGTAACTTATTGCTGCTCAACTTCCTTTTTAAATTTTCCCATACAGGAGATTTTTAAGTTCGTGGTGTTAATAGGTTATTCCAAATTCGAACAGCTCGATTTATATCACTGATTAACTTATTTGGTCTTATGTAGTTCTGTATATAGAGATTTCGACGCCATCTTCAGAAAGAAAATGTAAACAAATTGCCGCCAAAATGACATACGACAATTTTTCACGTGTGAAGAATATCGTACGTTGAATCAAAAGTCGTGTATGGCATTTTTTCACACGTGAAAAACATCGTACGTCCAATCAAAATGCATGAAATTAGTTTTTACAGTGATATACGATTTTTATTTCATCATTCTGCTGTGCATAAATCTCTATACACATATAATAAAGGTGAATATGTGCTAGTTCTCTATTGCTAGTTCGCCAAACATGGAGTTCACCGTGTTTACTAATCAACTTTTTACCCAAATATGGCGGCGCAAGTCGGCTCCTACCCTTATAAGTCATGATTGCATTCCTCTATATTGTTCCTTTGGCTTTCATGGGAAGCCATCAGACATCCCGTAGAGCGGGTGCAATACGATCAAATTTGTTTGTGTTTGTGATGATTCCGGCTGTGAAATTCTAGCCTGCCTGCAATTTCGTAATATCGGTAGCGGAAGCGTCCGATGAGATTCGGAACATCTTCCTGGTAAGGGTCAAATAAAGTATTTGACTTCCTGTTAGCACAACGGAAAAGATTCAATATTTCAATTCTATGTTTTACTGTAATCGTGTGGACGAAAACCTTTCGCAATGTTGGAAGAATTGGTAGGAATGATTCTATCCGTGTTTTCGCTTTTCATGAACGAAAGGCCGCGTGTATCATTCCGAGAACAACCCTGTGATGCAGGCGACTCAAGTGAATGCCGCCGTCTGCTAGAGGAAGATAAATGGCTGCCATATATCAACAGAGAATACGAGAACTTCAATAATGACAACGAATTGACCTCTTCATTGCCCGAATTTACTAGGGGAAGATTGACAAACTATCGCACGTTTGGTGACGTCTCATCTGAGCTCGTGAGTTATCGGAAGTCCATTTGCAAGAGCATTTGGACAAGTCTAAGTGTAACTATCGCTGTTTTACCGATAACGGCTTTCGCGATGGCGCTTTTATATATGCATTTAAAGACATACGATCTTTGCCGAGAATGGGAATATCAAAACCACAGCTTACCGTTGTCTGTAGTACGACTTCGACTGATTGGCAATGGCGTGGAAGCGATAATAGTAAACCTTTGGTTTCCCCTGACTACTGCGGTGCTGTTCGGCTGGAAAGATTTTAAAATGAAGTACTTTTCTACAGTTTCTGTAGGTGTTATTTTTGGATTTTCGGTAGTTATCTATTACCTGCTTTTACTGGCATTTAGGGTCTACGACACACACAAATACTATATCTATCCTGCAAATGTATTTACATTTACTGGAATGATAGTTTGTGGTATAGTGTTAATGCGCAATATTCGAGCCTGCGAGCACGCCGTATCTTATTCTAATTTTCATATAATGGTGCTGGTGTCATCGGAATTTCTTGTGTGTGCTCTGCTGTCATACGTCTATAGATTTGGCATAATTCCTTTCTTTATAAGTGTAAAAGAACAACAATATAAGTTCCTG